TATATTAAAAATAAAAAAAGAAAACAGGATAAAAATAGAAAAAGAAATTTATGAAGGAAATTCAGAGATGTGATTATAGCATCACACTAATGACATTACAATTAACCTCAAAGGCATTTCCATGCAAACTTCCCTTTGCAGCATAAGTCACTCCAGCCAAGGAATAATCCTGTCGGACTGAAATACTGCGTACTTGGTGTGAGCCTGAAAGTGTTTCGGCTTTCTTCATTTTGTTTTTATTGCCAACTTGGACAGCGTTAGACAGAGCTGTTCTGGAGTTAGAAGGGTACAATAGTCTGCAGTTTTAAAACTTTATGCTCTTAACTCACACACACCTTTTAAACCCCAACTGGGCCACTCTTGGAGCTCGCACTATGCTCTGATGTTTAAGGCCCCTGGATGCAACAACAACGGACACAGCAATGGCGTTGTTTAACATTTCTGAAATAAAACACAGTCACTTGATAAAATCCATGCTGATTATATGGCCCAAGCATTTCACACTCGTATATCCCTGAGTGTTAACTGCATTGGCTGGGAGACACTGGTCCTGGCTTCCTAGTCAATGGTCTGTTTTCATACAGAAAGCTTCCAGAAGAGTTCCATAAAAATCTACTCTACTGTGAAAGGCAATGCCATCCTTACCAACAACTTCCATAGGCGCTCTGGAGATCCTTAGGCCTGCTGGGCCTAGGACACATCAAGCTAGGAAGTGCCGTCTGTGTCTGCCTAAAGTTTGTCAACCACTCAAACAGGTGAGGAGAGAGGCAGCCCGGTGGCACCGAAGAAGTCACAATTGTATTATCTCACAGAAGATTCTGCACCCAAGGGCCCAGGAGTCTATGCACAGTCCATCCTGGACCTTTTCGCTGGGACCTCCGATGAGGCTTCATTCCCGGTCCACAGAGAGGCTGAGGAACTCATGCCACATCAGGGAAGGTCACCAGCCAGGGTATCAGAAAACGGTGAATGCCGTTAGTGTTGGCAGTGAAGGACCACTTAGCTGGCCAGGGTTTGCGCTCTGGGTGCGAACACTGCTCTCCATGACTTCCGGTTACCTGCTGCAGAACATTAGGGAAAATGCAGCCTACAGCATGGGAGTGGCTGCTAGCACCGTGAATGGGAGACCCTCTGCATCTCAGGGGCCTCTCAGCTAGCTACTACCATGTTTAAATTGTATGCACATAAAAGGCTACACTTTTCTAGTCATTCTATGATTTCTCTATTTTTTTACCTAAGAATTCTCTTTACAGCCCAATCTAAAAATGGGTCAACGATGCTTGTGCAACATGGAGTTGATTAAATACAATATGAAAAAAAAGATTCCAAACAAAAGATTTAAAATATCAAAGAGCCCAAATTATTTTGTATTTTTAAAAATGGTTTCCTTCAGGGCTGGTGTGGTGACCTAGCAAACTACCCCTCTGCCTATACCACTGGCGTCCCATATGAGTACCAGTTGGTGTCCCAGCTGCTCCACTTCTGATCCAGTTCCCTGTGTACTGTCTGGGGAAGTAGCAGAGGATGACCTGAGGCCTTGGGCTCCTATGCCCACATGGAATCAGCTCAGCTCCAGACACTGCGTCTATTTGGACAGTGAATTAGCAGATGGAAGATCTTTCTCCTTGTCTCTCCTTCTCTCTGTAAATTTGCCTTTTAAATAAAAGCAAATAAATCTTTTTTAAAAGACACACTCACACACACCCGAAAGATAAAATCGTCTCCCTCTATTCCAAAGCATTTGTCTCAAGGAAGAATCACAGCAGATGGCTGGTTACAGGTTATACTCAGCTAGGCAAGTACTTGAGTTCCTTCGAACAGCACGGAGCATTTCTCTGGGATCTTGAGGCAGCTCCTTCTCCTGGGTCAGTCACCTCATTGCTCCTCAGGTCAGACCTTTGAGACGGCGTCCACTGTTCAGGATTGACTCTGAACTGTCTCATTGAGTTCCCCAAGCAAACACAGCTCTGTTTTCCAGTCTCCCTTGAGTAAGTACACTGTTTTCTTTCTCAAGACAAGTGGGATAGGAAGCTTCTTGCCTCCTGGATGACATGATGGGGCATGGGGTGGAATTCCCACAGCTGAATATCAGCTCTTCTTGGGAAAGCCAGGCTAGATACCATGTTTATGGCAATGCTGGAAACAGATCAGGTTCCTCAAGGAAGCCTGGGTGGACTTCTAAGAAGCCAAATCAGTACCATTTGATTCCTCACTTTTGTCTTCATTCAGAAGGTGTTTAGTGGACTATAAACCATACCTTCTCCTCTGATCTTCAACCGTACATTCACTTCTTCTCTAGAATGGCTTAACCCTAACCCCGAAAGACCCTGTAACAATACGACAGGGAACCTGAGCTTCAAGACTGAAGACAAGGGTGAGAGTTATGCCTCGTTGTCTAACTTTTATGCTAGACTTCCTTCACGTTTTAAAAAGTCCTGGTTCATTTTGAAGAATATGGATTAGATGGCTTCCACAATGAAAACCAACACTAGCTGTCACATGCAGAGTCGTTTATTCCCCAAACCTCTCCAGCATGTCCCTACCATGGACATGAATTTGTTATTTTTTTAAAGTATAATAGAAATAATATAAACTATTAACTTTTTATCACCATTGTTAATCCACCATCAATGGATATTTTTCTACAAATACCCTTCCTTATCTGATCCTTCATTCCAACACAAGACACATGTCCCCTACAGAGTTGCCCATCCCTCTGGAAAAATAAATTTCTTATAGTTTTGGATGTGACAGCACAGACCTCTCAGCTCTCTCACCAATGAAATGTTCTCTTTGTTCTCACCCTGTTGTGTCTGAAATCAAGTTAAAGACTCACAAAAGAAACACAAAAGCTCGTCCTCACGGAAATGTGCTCTGCGTTCCTTCACTGATTTCCTCTTTTGCTCACCCATGCGCGCATCCAGTGTGGCGCAGGAATTCAGCTTGGCACATCATCACCGTGCCTGAGTTAGAGCCCTGGCTCTGTTCGTGACTCAAGCATCCACCAATGCTCACATTCTGGGGTTCCCGCCGTCCACCCTGGAAACACAGACTGCACACCTGGCTCCTGGCTTGCAACTGTGGACACTGGGGACTTCGGTGGGTAGAAGCTCTGTCTGCCCTTCTGCCTCTCAAGTAAAAATAAGCTTTATTTTGAAGAAGTCATTGGTCACCTCCTGGGACCAGACAGCATGGTAAGAAGCAAGCGGAAAGAAATAAACCAGGATCACAAGTTACTGGCTTTGCAGGAGACTTCACACAAGGGGAGAGGGATGGGATATTATAAATCAGGTAGCAGTAAAAAGTGTAGTTCATTAATATACAAATATACTATCAGGTCACTCGTGGCCTAAGGTGACTGTCACAAAGGAAATAAGACAAAGAGGATGATGCAATTAGGAGGGAAGGAAGTAGGAAGTCTTACACAGCCGTACTCAGACCTCTGGAAGGAGGAAGGGATAGCCCAGCCAAGCCTGGAGAGATGAGGGTTGGCCTTCTGTGCGAAAGGCTCCAAGGCAGGCAGGCAGGCAGCAAAACCCTGGAGGAGCAGGGGCCTCCCAGGATGCAAGTGAGGGAGGGCAGAGAGCAGGAGCCAGAACCAGCTATGGCCCACAGAAGGGGAAGGAATTTGTAGATTATTCCTTAGAACAAGTTCTCAATATTTTTAATTTATTGCTTAATGAAATAATATAGAGATGTGTGTACCTATCTGCCCATTTGATCCAGTTTCAACATTGTCCAAAGCTTAGCCACAGGGGCCTTTGACCTTACAAACTGCTAGCCTTGGAGTCTTTTCAGCATCAAACATTGGAACTGGATGATGTCACCTTAGTGCCAATCTTAAATACGTTCTGGACAACCCAGTTGCATCGCGTCTGGTAGCCTTGACTACATGCAAGTTGCAATGGCTGGCCAGTGCAAGGAGACTGCACGGGAGGCCTCTGAGCTCTGCTCCTCTCTGCCCAAGTGAGAAGCAACTATGTGGCAGCACAGTGTCAATTCCTCATTCTTCTCTTGGATTCACTATTTTTTGTTTATTGCAAATTCTGGGTTGCCAATTTGAGGTCTTCTACAATGAACATGGACAACAGCTTGGGCAAAGGAATCATGTCTTCTGAAATTTTCCAGCTGCGCTACTGTAAAACCTATTATTTTCTGTTCTTCCAAGCATGATATAAGTAAACCACAACAAAAGCCTTTGTTAGAAGCCAATGTAATCGCTGAAAATTTGATCTTAAATAAGTATATACATATATGTATACATGGAGGGAGCATCAAAGAACTTACGTATTGTGACTGGCATAAGAATCACAGTGAGCTGCAAGTTTGGAGCGTCACATGGGGCACATCACCAGAGCAATGAGTCGGAGGGAGAAGGGGAGGGCGGCTTTTGATACAGAATCCAGCAACAATCACACACACACACACACACACACACACACGTGTATTTTTAAGGGACAGTAGTATGTTCAACTGTTTGTGGTGCAGTTGGGAAATGAGAATTTTTGAAAGTAGAATTCTTGAAAAGTTTTTTTAACCACACTCTTCAATAATGGTGAATATTTGATTCAGACCCCAAACACTGCATGTTGCCAGTTTTTCTCAGCTTAAATCTAGTCCGGCCCCATGCCAAGCTGATTTTTAACAACCTCTACCTTTCTAAGCAGCTCTTTCATGTAGATTTACTTGAAAATGGCATCTCAGCCTCTTGTCACCTCCTGTTCTCTTCCAGACCATTCACCCAGGTCAGTTTCCTGGCAGGCCCTCCACAAGCAGCTGGGGGTTCTTCGCAGACCCGGCTGGGGTAATTATGCTCGGTAATTGTGGAGTCAGGGCCTGTCTCCCCGTCAAGATTAGAAATGCCAAGTCATTTCCTGTTTTCAAATCCAAAGGAAAGATACTGACGTCTGATACTGGTTTTCTTAGTTTCAATTATTGCAAGGGCACCCGGGAGGTGCCTTGGAAGGCTCCTCAGAAGAAGGCTGGGTTCCCAAGCAGGGTGCTCCCTCCCACACCGGCACCTCAGCAGACAGGACAGGCTTCTGGCTGGCTGCTTGGAGAACTCTTCAGGCCCTTTCTTCCACCTCCATTCTGTCAGTCTGGCTCAGGGGAACCGGGAGTCAAAGCAGGGCGCAGGGGACCTGCTCCAAGGGCATCTGCAGCAAGGGGCAGCAGAAGCACTTGGCATATGTTCAAGGGTAAAGAGCCTTCTTTTTAATTGTACACATCCTTGCATTTTACAGCACATTAAACTTTAAAAGGAAAGGTAGCAAACTTGGGCATCTGTTTTTTTCTCATATAAAGTCAGCTCCTAATAAGTAGTCCACAGAGCTTCCTCAGCTGCAGCTGTGGGCAGAGAAGCAGTTCCACGCACACAGAACTAATTGCAGGGCTCTCGAAAGACTCAATTGTCTTTTTAAATTCTCTGCCAGTGAAACCAGCTTTGAGCAGTTGGGTTTTGGGAAAGATGACATCCCCAAAAGAATCGTAGCCAAAGTAAACAGGGTTAAAAAGGAGAAAAACACGAAAAAGAGCATTCCTATTTACTCCATACTGCAGTGCCTTCCATTGTTGAGAGCATTGGGCCCCTGAATTAGTCATGGCCACGTGATTCTCATGCTAGAAATGAACCTGTGAATGTCCCCCAATTTCCTGACCTTGGGGGAGTAAAGTATGTGTTACTGGTTATCAGATTTTTAAGTGCACTTCCTTTTCACGTCCACTTGTTTCTCTTGAAAATGACACAAAACTATAACATCATAGATAAGGTTACAACATGCCTGTTACATTTTATAATGACAGCTATATACCTTTTAAAAACCAAAATGTGAGTGTGTCCCTCAGGTCAACTTCCTATTGAATGTGTTTATGGTATAATTTTCTTCAAAGAAGAGTATGAAGCATGGTTTTGGCATGGACACAGGGCTGTAACATGAAGATTCCAGACAGGGGCCTCAGGCTTGTTTCCCAGCTTCCCAAGGGGCTCTCTGTGGCATCCAATGACGACTGTTGAGAAGACGCCGCAAATCAAACGGTCCCTGCTCTGCTGCCTTTTTTGATTGGTAAAAGTTCAGACTTTAGATTCTATCAAGACTCTTTCAGCAGAGCAAACTGAACTACCCGTTTAATCAATCAAGTCATAGAGAATATGATGGGACGAGAAAGAAGGAAGATGGGGGATAAGGGGCATATAAAAATCAATTTATAGGTTTAAAAAAAAGCAGAAAATAAGCAACAAGAAAAAGAAGGAAAGAAAGAAAAATAAAAAGAATGAAAAAGGAAAGAGAAGTGAATGAAGAAAAGTCGTGCATGGGAGATTCCTAACTGGTTGAAAAAAATCTAGTTGACTTAGAAAACTTCTGTAATCATTTGATAGTGTTTGTGTGCAAGTCATTCATCTGCTATTGTGTAACTAAGTCGAAACAGTAGCCTAAGTTCCACTTCTCTTTTGTCACTGGTTCTCATTGCTGGCTGTATTTTACATGTCAACCTGCTCACCATATGTGTACCCACCTATGCTTTCTTTGCCACTAATTGCTTCTTTTCTTGACAACACTATATGTTCATAGCATAGAGCTGTTTTTATCACTCTAAGCCTATTAATGCCCAGACTTATGTTTCCCAGAGGAATTAAAATTAACCAGCTCTCTAAATATTGTTCATGAGCTGGAAAACTCCTGTATTTTAGAATCTCACTTCAGTTGTTTTTAATTGGTTTGCAATATTTCACCCTTTAGGGCTTGCCCTTAACTTTCCAAAGTATATATTAAAAAAATTTATGAGAGTGATACCAAAGGCAAAACTTAGGAAAAATCCACATTCCTTTTAGACAATGATAGTGTTTATTCTATGATTTAAAGCCCAATTTCATAGCGTGGTAGAGACTAAACTCTTACCGACTTCCTGCATCTTCAGTGAGATGCACAGTTAAACACACTTCATCTGCAAAAGGCCAAGGTTTCTAAACAAAAACAAATTGCCTTGTGGCAAATTTCTCTTTCAGAAATGGAGATTTTTTAACACAGATTTCTTTCTTTTTGTTTTAGCTTTACGTACAATGTTGATTTCTAGAACATAGAGACCTGCCTTTAATATTGTTTTTTTGTTGTTGTTGAAGAATGATCACTTCGTACAAATCATAAAACAAATTGCTGATAAAATGTTCTTAAGTCACCGGAACAATTTAATTCTAATGACACACATACATGAACATGCTAAATACTATTGTTTACTATTCCAAACTAAGGACGTTTTTGAGAAATAAATAAGTGTAAGTATCCAAAATTTGTAAGAAGTTACTCAGATAAGAAATTCTACTTACTGCTCCTCAAATATAATGTCCAAGGTTCTATTTTGGGGTCAATAACAATATCATAGTTACGACTACAAACTGTCATGTTTCTATTACAAGGACAGAGGAAAATTACATTTTTATAGAAAGAACAAGTGATACATTATAAGATTGTTAAGATGATAAGATTATATGATTATTATTAAAATGAGATTAGTATTATTATTATAAGATTATTTTCAGGTAAAACAGAGATCACTCAAGTCTTCACGGTTCTCATTTACCCAAATGGCAAGTACCTGCTGTCTCCCACTCTCAGGGTCTAGAATAACACCAATTTCCTCTTTTAAAGACAAGCAATATCAAGATGCTTTATGTTGATACAAAAGTTTAGAAAGAATTTTCACACATGATATTTCAAGAAGAAACTTTTCCCCAAAGTGAGCTCTCAGAGGAGCCATAAGCACCTACACCTCGTGTTTGTTACCAAGTGGGTGGATGAAGAAATGGATGCACAAGTGAAGGGAGAAACACCAGACGAGGCTATGGCTCTAAAGTTGATGAGAAGAATTCTATTCGTAGGCTGATCTCTAAGTATGTTTTTTAAGCATCTCATATGATCTGCCTTGTGTATATTTCACATCTCCGACAAAAAGAGGGCTTTGTAGAACTTCCCAATTTTAAGGGTTCTGTAAATACCTCAAAGGGTCATCAAAGGAAAATGGTAACACCAGCTAATGATAATGAATGAATGAATGAAGCAAGCTTTCTTTTCTCTCTGAATCAATAACACATGTTCCTGTAACAACCACGAGCCTCGTGTGTGAATATTGTGGCACTTGCGTGTGTTCCGATGTCTAAACGGAGGCTGTCACTTGGCGTCTGACCTTCCATTTGGCACTGTCCTGTCATTTCCTTGGCTGCACAAATTTTAGCTTCTTCCTTGACCTCTCAACTGTGACCTTTCACTTGACCTGCGAACTCATAAGTTCTGAAATCTCATACGTGTAATTGAGGAACAAATAAACAACACATCTAGATGAAGCTTTTCCTGAATTCTGTCTGAAAAGATGAAACAAAACCAGGCACTTCAACTTCAGTATGTAACCTAATACGCAATGGGTGGACAGGGAGAGAGTGGGCAGTTGTTTCTTTTAAAGGTTTAACTACGACATCAAATTGTCATAAGACTCAGAATTGAATATTCTTATTGTCTGATTGCATTAAAAAGACTACTGTGTACCGGATTATTTCAGTTAAATGTGAAATATCTTTCATGTCAATGATACTAATATTCTCATCCAATCACGGAGTTTAGAGCTATAGCCTCAATATAAAGCAAACGATTTTATCCAGATGAACCTTGTTAACACTAACTGCTACACTGAGCATTTTAAGTGCTATCTGACCATGGTTACTGAACCCCACTTCTTAACACCAGCTCACTATCTTGATAGCCTGGTCACAGTAGGTCACCATGACAGGTCTCTGACTCCACATGGCGCCCTGCTTCCCAATGGAAGCTAAGCTTCCTGAGGGTGTGACATGTGTCTGCTGTGCTGGTGGCTGAGTCCTCACCACTAAGTGAACACCCACCTGGCAGCTACCGAGAGTGTCTGTAGTCCAGACAACTGGTTCTCCAACATCACTGCACAAACTTCAGAGCACAGATCTAAGGCAGATGCACCAGCTAACCTTAGAGTTATAACCACAGCTTACCCGCTTGTTGTACAGCTTAATGTGTTTTAAAATTTATCTTGGAGTTTCTTACATTAACATTTGACTTCATATTTCTTACTGTTTGGCATTAAAATACTGCATCAACAAAATACAAAGACCTCCTTTAACAGCTCTTAGATTAATAAATGTTGACTATCATCAAATGCCAATTCTGACTTGAACTTACATTGTAAATCATGCTATCTTGCACATTAGCATATACTCCTATATCTTTTATTAAATGTCTGGATTCAAATATTAGGAAACTGGGTTTGATTCACCTGGACATGAAAAGTTACTGAAACACGATGGAGCACATTCTTGATATTCTGCTACCCGAAATGACCAACTTAACACTTAAGATCAATAAAAGGGAAAGTCAAGCAGGGACCATAAAGCATTAAACAACTAAAAATATATAAATATATCAATAAACAAAATAATTAGTAAATAAAACAATTTGTAGGCAACGTCTATCACAGGTTGGGCTAACCCAAAAGTTTGCATAAGATGTAAAGCAGAACTAGAGTGACAAATCTGGATTCAACAGCGAATTTTAAACCTGCAGAATTAAACCGAGGACACTTTTACTGAAATATTAAAAAATTAAGTTTCATTTTAATAATAGTGGTAGCACATCATCTTTGGCACATACTATTTCACCATTTAAGAAAGATTATATACCATCATCTGATTCATTCCGTAAAAACTTAATTCCAATAAATACCAAGATTATCTAAGACTTATCTAACCTCATTGAATATATTATATCTGCATCATAAGTTCATGTAAAACAATCTATGGAAATAGATTAATGCTACGCATTTTTTAAGAAAAATTCTAGAGTAATTCTTATCCTTTATGGTTTCAAAATATTGAAAAGAGAGTTTTGGTTCATCACAAAATGAGTATTTTCTAACTTCCTCATGTGAAGTTGAGTAAATGGTTCAAAGTTTGGCTGTACTTTTGGGTTCTTTCTTGTTTAATCCAAACAGTGCATTTTTCCTTCAAAGTAATCAAAACAGTCAGACATGTACAAATCATTTTGTTGGAGAATTATTGCTGTGGTTTATTCAAATAATGTCATATCAATAAGGGGAACTTTAAAGAATGTTAGAGTTTTTGAAATATAGAGAGAAATAAAAATGGCAACACAAAATATAACAGAAAATTAAGTGCAGAAATTATTTTACAGATACCACTGATATATTGGGCATACTAGCAACATAATATATAAAGAATAAAATCTAAGTAATAACTTTCAAAAAGAAATAGCTTGAAAGGTTCACACTGAGGGAAACCTATTAACTATTTAGGAATATATGCTAACATATTTTGTAATTAAAATTTCACTAAAATTTTCTGAAATTTTAGTTAAAAATAATAAGCAGATGTTCAACTTTCAATGTCTTAATAAATAATTTTAACAGTTAGTATTTATCATTCTATTTTGTATCAGATCTATTAATATAAATGAAGAAATGGCATTGTTTCCCCCCCAAAAAAACTGAAGAGTAAAAACACAAGTTACATTTTAAAATTACAAGAAAATCAGTAACAGAAGTAGTCGTAGATACTCTAGAAGGTAATGGGGATATTTGGAGGAGAAATAGGACGGAGTATATAAATCTATTGTACTGATATGACAAAGCCCAGACTTAAGTAGAAAAGCCAAGTTTGCTGGCTTATGTTTTAGGTAGAAGCTTTTTACTACAAGAGTCCAACTGCTGAAGTTCATTTCCTGCCTTTAATTCTAAACGAGCAATTTGCTGATAATTTCCTGTCTACATTTTCATAAAGCAGAAAGAACAGGACTGGTTCAGCTTAATGTTTCAATAACCAAAACACACACACACACAAAAACCTGAGCTAACATGGTTTAGGAAGTTAGACAACTATCTAAAAACCAGTTTTACAATTACAAAATGTTGGAACGTTGTTTATCTCCCTTAAAGTTTGGAAACTATTCTGAAGGCTATTGTAATTGCCTCTGACCCCCAAACAAATAGAGCCCCATCGCTCTGCCTCAACAGGCCCAGAGCAATTAACGTCACAGGGCTATGGATCCCATCCACTCCGAGTTATTGCAACGTAGATGAGGAAGAAATGACCTCTAGTTTGGCTCCAGCCCGTATCTTTATGCCCGAATTAAAGATATTTGCGTAACTTGAACTTTTTATAGGCTGTGCCTTTGAATTCATGATTATCAGCATTTGGGGCTGAAATTATACTAGGACATCCTAAAAGGGAGCCATCTGAAATCTAAATTAAGATGTCAATTAAAGATGAAGAATGGCTTGTCATTATTGCCTTCAAATGAGGCCCCCTCTTTCTCTCATTGAGATCGCAAACATCTTCCATCCGAAATCCATTACGGCTACTGCAAAAGTGGAGCTTAGAAAGTGTACACTTTTTCCACAGCTCGGAAGAGGGCATGCCCCATAAAACCACAGAATCCATAAGTTGGACAAACTTCAACCAATGCCAGGCTGTGCCACAGCCACCTCCAGATGCCAGCCAGTGGTGGAAAGCAGTCAAGTCTTAATCACAAAGGGAGATTTTACTAGACAGATTTAAGGGGAACAGATGAGCCCAAATCCCCCTTTTTATTATCTACTGTACACTTAGCTAATGTTTTCCCCTGTGAGACAGGCTTAAACAGTGAGCACAAATAGCACAATGAAATTGTGATACTCTCGTGGTGTGGACCTGGATTATTTCAGCCACCAGCAACGTGAGTAGCTGCAGGTGTTGCACTAAATAAAGTAATATAAAGTGTCTAAATTGCAACAGTGGAAGTACTGTTTCAAGAGCCTTGTCTGCTTTTTATTAATAGTCAGATTCCTTGCTATCAGCAACCCCAACTACCTTTAGCCTATTATTCAGCAACAATATTTTGATAGGCAAAGATCTATTAAAAATCACTGTTGATATTTTGTGACCATAGTCATTTTGGAGTTGAATAAGCATTCAATCTTCTCACAGAAGGGGAGAACGTAAACTTGTGATTCGGCAAAGGAGGAAACCAGGGGTTACAAAGGTGCAGAGGCCAAGTAGAATGAAGCAGACCCCCTCCATCAAGGGAAACACTTGGCAGTATAACTAGAAACAGACCAACCCTAAATCTTAGGGTTCATGAGCTCTTAGGAACATAA